TCTTCATAAAAGCGTATCAATTAAACTGCTAATTGCTCCCGACTGATTCCTCTTCTGCAACTGTCACTAGTCTAATACTATCCTTACCTTTTTGTGTCATTTTACCTCACTCCCTCTAGCATGTAAGCTCATTGAGCAGGGCCCTCAACCCCTCGGTTCCTGTGTGTCCAACTTGTCTGGTTACAACTACATGTCTGTTCGTCCACCCATTGTAAAGCGCTGCAGAATTTGACGGCGCTCTATAAATATCATAATAATAATAATAATAATAATTAAACAGATAAATAAAGAAAGTGTAAACATTAGATGACTCTTTACAGGAAGTGTTTAGGAAGACTTTGTAAGTCACATGCAAGGAGGTTTTCTTAGGGCCGCATAAACAAAGTAATATAACTCCTAAATGGCAGAGAAATGAGCAGTAAGACCTCAGGGACATGATCTATACACCAAAACTGTTTCATTAGGCTAAAGTATTTGTGACCAAAGAGATAGCGACAAAGTGTATAGGCGCTTCACAGTGAATAAAAAACACACAATCTAAGGTGTACTACTGGTGTATCCCCTTCACCATATAGTAGTAATAGACACAAAATAAAATGTACACCTTAGACACAGGAACATAAGATATAAATACCTATCCCTGTGTTGCGAATAGACAGGAAAATCTAAAACATAAAAAATAGCACATAGTGTTTTCTGTATATACAGGAAAAAAAAAAACAGAATCGAATAATGGAATATAACTGACAAAGTATAGAGCCGTGTCAGGCTCTATATAATGCCTATATGCAAGGTGCCTATGCAGGCTTAAAGATGTATATTTTTCTTCCCTCTGTGGTAAAAATACTGGAGATAGAGGCTCCAAGTGAATGTAAATGACTTTATTGTTGTCAAAAGGTAAAAATAAGTAATAACAATATCGGGACAAAAAAAGCAGTGAATAAATAACAAATATAAGTCACTGCAAATAAAAGAGTTTAAAAAGTCCCAAGAGTAAGTCAGCAGACACGTTTCAACTCGTTCTGGAGTCTTCCTCAGTGTTGTTCAATGCCTCCACCCTTTTGGAATATATAGATGTGTAATCCGTGTTCATTCTGTACACCTGGCTTCATTTCCGGTGGGTAAATAGTGAGTCATCAATCTGGGTTTTCAGATGTTCACTTTCGGTTTCGGGAATAAGTCCGGCGGAATGGCGGAAGTAGTCCAGGCGCCATTTTCCTTGAGGGAAAAATTCTCAAACAGAGCAATATGCAGATGTGAACATAAATTACATTATTTACATTATTAATTTGTGTTAACATCTGCATATTGCTCTGTTTGAGAATTTTTCCCTCAAGTAAAATGGCACCTGGACTACTTCCGCCATTCCGCCGGACTTATTACGGAAACCGGAAGTGATGCAAACACCATGCGTCACGTCTGAAAACCCAGATTGATGACTCACTATTTACCCGCCGGAAATGACGCTACACGGAAGCCAGGTGTACAGAATAAGCACGGATTACACATGTAAATATTCATAGAACATGGACTAAAGAGTCCTGGGTGGGAGAGTAATAAGACTTGGGGAAGGGGAGCCCTACCTTTAATAGTCCTAAGGGGAAACAGGAGTGAAAGCAGAGCAAGAAAAAGGGGAGACAGAGGTTGGTGTAAAAGTGTATGTATATCTACACACCAATACTTCTCACCGTGACATCCAGACTGCGTTGCCCCAGAAGTGCCAAATAAGGGATTTGAACCTGGGTACTTTGCAGTCCTGGGTCTGCTGTTTCTCGTCTGAGCAACCATACAGCTCAAGTAATAGCCTGAAGTTTGGATCTTGCCTTATCTCCAGCACTGGGGGTTGGAATTTACCTGAGACTGCTCCTGTCACTCATGGTTCACCTGTGGCTGATCACTGATTAGACAGGTATAAGACACTGCCTCTCCCTGAGGGCAGTGTCAGTTCATTGACTCTGGTTCTCGTATTGCTGTTTCTTGTTCTCCTGTTGATTCCTGACCTTGGCTTGTTATTTCGTGTATCCTGATTTCTGGCATCCTCTGACCTCTGGCTTACCCACGACTATTCTCCTGTTTATGTCTGTATCTGTACTGCGACTTGGAGCATTAACCTGCACAGCCCCCATGCACAGACTCACAGGCCAGGTGAGTTCTTACCTGACCACCTTGGCCTGTGTTTAATTGCAAGGGTGAGCATATATCTGTGCTACAGACTCCCAACCAAGGTAAGCTGTTACAGAAATACAGTGTAGCTAATCCTCTAAAAAGGTCTTTGCCTATACTGTGTATAATCCTGGCGTAGTGGATAGAAAAAAATCAGGTAGAGGAGAGGTAAAATATGGTATCTGGACTGAGGAGAAAGGGAATATCAAACCCCAAAGAAACAATCCCCTTAGCAGCCCAGAGTTGAAGCACTTCTCATAGTGTTCTGTCCCTATTAACTCGGCACTGTGGATAACCACAAATGCCTATCTGAACCTCTCTCCCTTCCTGTGCTGATAAATAAAATTAATTAAATCAAACTAATCTAGTGCATAAGTGCTACCAAGTAGTGAAAAAATAAATAACTGAAATGAAAAATAGCTTGACGCGCATTTCGGCGTGTCAGCATGCCATCGTCAGGAGCGGTATCTGTGAACTAGTCCCTGTATCGGTTTTATATGTCTCACAATCAGCCTCTAAGTGTTCAATGCTGTGTGGAGGGGGTGTGTAGTTCCCACCTTTCCATCTTTTTCAAAACATCTGAAACTCCACCATGGAGGGTCCGCAGAAAACATACGGTTCTGTGGAATTGAAAAAGTTACACTGGGCCCACGAGGAGGAGATCTTGATAGAAAACTCATACAAAGAGAGAGCATATGGATATATAGATTAAAAACTCTCTCCCCTATGGGCCTTAATGAAGGGTTTTCATTTACGCCCTTTATCCCTGATCAATAATATTAGCTCTAAATTTGGCATATTTTACATGATCCTTTACTGTCTACATAATAGTGGGTTCTCACACTACTTTTATGATATCTTTTCTAATTAATGTTGTTTTTCCCTATTTTTAATATTTCACTTTTCCTTTATTCACACTTTATTTTGAGTCTGCTCATTGGTAATATTTAGAGCAGAATACCCCTTTAGATTCTAACTGATATTTAATCACCAATTTAGTCTCTATTTTTGGATTTGGAAGACTATAATGTATTGGTATAGTCTGTTTAAACTCTATGGTACTATACTAAGGATAAAGAATTGATAGATAGCCATGGAATATCCTAGATATCAAAACATCTCTGTATATACATATATATATATATATATATAGATATATATATATATATATATATATATATATATATATATATATATATATATATATATATATATATATATATATATATCTATATATATATATCTTGGTACTCCTTATATACCACTTAGTGAATTGATAGAAATAAGAGTGTAACATTTGTAGTACATTTTTTAGATCTTAGTGATTATGTTTATACACTGTACTATAATTTTTATATTGTAATACTTATATGTTCTATAACATACCAAGATATATGTTTTATACCTGGGTTCTTTATAATGTATATAATTTTGGATATTCACTACATGGCTTTATATATATATAGTACTTTAGGAGCATGTATTTTGGATAGATCCATATACATACTTTTCTCCAATAGGCACACAATACATCTATTCTTTCTGTAGATGTGTTCTATGTTGCCTTCCTAACCTTCTCTTGGTGTATTATACACTGACATACAGTGTTTCTACTCATGGAGATAAGTGGGAGGAGTTTATGCTAATGCAACAGATATGTTCACTCCACCTCCTCCGACAGCATCAATTATCTCGTGGATAGCGCGGGAAATAGTTTATCCCGCCCCCCGCCAGAGGTAGGATCCTCATTGGATAAGAGATGATACGAAGGGGGTATTTTAAGCTCATACTGAGCAGTCCTTGATTTGCCTCTGACGAAGGTGCTACTAAGAGCACTGAAACGCGTGTCAGGCGTTTTTTTGTCCGATTTTTCGGACTTCACTGGTTTGCCCACATTTATCACTACATGGCACTATAAGGGTTTGTGGACACTTATTGTATGATTAGATAGACTTTGTAAATTAGATTTTTTTCTCTTTACCACTTTTGGAGCTGGATTAGTATATGTTAACTAGGGGACTGGATAATATGTTGCTTCTTTTGTGACTATTACATAGTCTGTTACATTGTTAAGCAACTCTTTGCTACTCTCTCCTTTCATATTCATTTCTATCTACCTGGCTCTGTCTAATAGATATGCCGTGGGCACCCTAAGCTCCACGATATCTATTTCCTCTCACTATACTTTTGTGTATATTATTGCATCAAGCTATATTATATACCCAGTTTGGTATTTCCTCTCTTAGGTATTTTATCATTTTTTGAGAGGATTCTTTAGTGGTAATTGTTAGTTTTTATTTTGCTATATCCCTTCCCTGGTTTAGTTTCACATTTTTATTATTTTAGTGGACACAGTAGAGCAAGATCTATTAAAGCTCATTTTCTAGTGTCTTATTCTGTACTTATATCTATATACTCTATACCAAAGATATGGGATATCATTAGTCTATCTTTTCTAATTATCACCAGGAAATTCATCTTTATTTTTATTTTTATTTTCTTGTCTTATTTGTGAGAACTTTATTCATTTTGCTCCAGATCCATGCAGTCAGATACACCTGCTTTTTGCAGCTGTTTTTCTCTGTATGTTTCATTTTTCTTTTTTCATATATACAATTTTGGGGTTAGGCCCCTGGAGACCCTTGGAGCCTCCATTAGGTACTAAGTGGGTTTGCCTACACCATTAGTGCCAGATTTTGATAGGCACTGAGTGGTGCGGGTTTTCTTATCTTATTTGTTTCTTTTGCTAAAATGGTATATAGTCTAAATACTATTACCATACACTAAAATAGGGTATTGATTATAAGTTAACCACCAAACTTATAAAAGCCTGGGAGAGGCTAATCCTGCAAGGTATGTTTGACTTAATAAAGGTGTAAAAATACACCCATTTATTATTTTAGGTGTATTTTTACACCTTTATTAAGTCAAACATACCTTGCAGGACTAGCCTCTCCCAGGCTTTTATAAGTTTGATGGTTAACTTATAATCAATACACTATTTTAGTGTATGGTAATAGTATTTGGACTATATACCATTTTAGCATTTTTTTTTCTAATAAAGGTTGTTTATCCTCTTCTATGTGACTATTTACATTATGAGGTACTTTGAATGAATTTTAAACTTTTATAGGAGGTTTAAGGGGGGGGGACAAGCCACATAAATGGTGGGTTAAAAACGGTAGGGTCAGAAATGCATGTTTGTGTTCCTGACCCTATAGTGTTCCTTTAACAAAAGAGCTGAAAAGTAAGAATGTTCCTTTGACATGTAGAATCATAGAAACCTCAATAATGTTCTGTTCTTTTTTTGGTACATACATTAAAACGTTCTAGAACCTCTGTATTATCTATTAAACTGGAATTATCCACACAAAGTATTCTTTTATGTTTTAACCTGCACTGCAGTTAAATTTCCCCTGTTTCGGATAGGATTATTGGAGAGAGATTTGTCTATGAGTGCTTATAAACTATTACTCCTGAAATAATGGTTGCTCATGAAGATTATGCAATCCTTAGTTGTAATTGTTTTCAGTTGTTATGTAGTGGATTTTAATAGTTATGCATTTTTATGACAGTTGGTGGAACCTTTTTGTTGGTGTTGTATGCATATTGAGTTTCAGCTGGGAAAATTTACTTTCATGTCTACAAACTTATGAGCTTATAAACGTGATAAAACTCTGATTGTATTCATATTAGACTGTAACATTGTTTACAGCTGGAAAGTATGGAGATAAAATATAAAATTATAGAGTCTATGAATTCAGTCATTTAGAATTTCTTATTTCTGTTATTTAAAAGGTCACTATAAATAACATAATAAACAATGCTTAATGCATAGGTTTTGGTGAATAGAATCCCACCGTACCATTGAAAACAGTGGATTATAATTACAGAGATATTTATATAATACTAAATATAAGACAACATCTTGTACCAGTGACATATGGACATATGTTAAGCACAAAAATCTTTTTTTCATAACCTGATCTAGAAAAAAAATGTAAGATTCCTTGTGATCAGAATCTATGGTGTGTCCATAGAGCCCTATATAGGGGGTAACCCTTGTAATAATAACAAAGTATAAGGTTGTAGGTAATCCCAAGCAAAAGAGCTGTGGTAATACCAACTAGAGAAAGGGATCTATGGGTATGCACATATAAAAATAAAAAACCTTTAATATAGGGTAGTAATTTCCCAAGTAAAATTACTACCCTATATTAAAGGTTTTTTATTTTTATATGTGCATACCCATAGATCCCTTTCTCTAGTTGGTATTACCACAGCTCTTTTGCTTGGGATTACCTACAACCTTATAACCTGATCTGGCGAGATTATTATTATTATTATTATTATTATTATTATGCTATTATTTATATAGCGCCATAAAATTCCGCAGCGCTTTACAATGGGTGGACGAACAGACATGTAGTTGTAACCAGACAAGTTGGACACACCGAAACAGAGAGTTTGAGGGCCCTACTCAATGAGCTTACATGCTAGAGGGAGTGGGGTAAAGTGACACAAAAAGGTAAGGATAGTATTAGACTAGTATTAGACAGTTGCAAGAGAGAAATCAGTCGGTAGCTATTAACAGTTTAATTGATACGCTTTTATGAAGAAGTGGGTTTTTAATTATTTTTTTAAGGAGTGGAGACTGGGTGAGCATCTAACGGAGGAGGGAAGCGAGTTCCACAGGAATGGTGCAGCCCTCGACAAGTCTTGAAGGCGAGCATCAGAGGTGGGAGTACGGACAGAAGATAGACGTAAGTCTTCAGCAGATCGTAAGGGCCTAGACAGGACATACTTGTGGATTATAAAATGTATCTATGTATATGTGCAGTCAGCAGTTAAGGATATTGTGGCCAAGACTGTGAAAAGTCTGAAAAAATAAATAAATATATATATACTATGCCACGTAACCCAAAAAGAACAAAAGTATATAGAAAAGATCAGTGTATGATACATGTAGATCTGGTAATTACACTACTGGGCGTAACACGAAGAGGGGAGTCAGAGCATAGCTAGATAATGATGATATGGATTAATACACAGTATGATGTAAATAGACAATCAAATTAATTTTACTACTGCTACCTATTCTCTATGTAATTAGCAATCTATTGCACACAGGAAATATTTGTATGTCTGTCTGTACATATCACATACAAGACCCAGCGCACTCGCTCATCCACTAAACAGCAATTTCAAATCTCACAGAATGTAAAAGTTTTATTTATAATAAAATGGGGGTTTAGTTACAGTGTATTCACAGTAGTTACAGTATATGATCATACATTGCATAAGCCTGCCACAATGCCAATGTACCCCATTCTTGGCAGGTACTACTCTAGCAGCCTAATGCTTGCTCTTATGAGATTAATCCACTTACTTGGGAAATACTTCCTTACTGGAACTCTCTGCAGATCTATGCTAAATAGGGCCCTGGGATGAGGCACCAGTGACAGGGAGGGGTGCAAGACCAGGGAGTTGGCCTTGACACCCAAATACATAAATGAAACCAAGAGGGTTGCATTTACCTGGACATGCATACTTGTAAGGGTTCCACTGGGGCCAATTCATACAACATACAAAATCCATATCACTCTATCTATCTACATAAAATTAAGAAATAAATTAACTAAGTAGAATTTCCAATGTAGCCTAAACCCCCAATCCCTAAAAAAAATATAGGATAGTAGGGACTGGATGTAAAAATATAACGTTTATAGGAAAGCCAAGTGTACCTTTCATAAGAAATGTTATACCTATTAAATATATATTATGTTGCTTTAATATCCTGCATATTTGATTATGTGTATATTTTCTTCAAAAATCTATATTTTATTTCATTTATTTTTTCTAATATCAACATGTATGCCAGGAATTCCTACACAGCAGTTTCCACATTTATAATTTTGAAAGGTTTTCAAAATCAAACACTGGTTGGTTTCTTGCGTTAATAAAAAGCCTTTTACTTTTACATAATTGTTTTAACATTTCAGCTGATTTCAGAATGTCACCAGAGAAAACTGTTCTAGCCGAGCACACTTAGTTCAAATTGATCAATCTAGAGCATTTGGATCAGACATGATGCTGCCAACTGTTTACACTTTATTCAGAGGCAAAAAAATCATTACACTATCTGTCACCCATAGCAAGTATTGTTTCTTGTGTAGAAAATCCCATGGCGTAAATCCTTAGAACCATGGCGATATTTGATGTCTTAGTGGCAACAGTAAATGTTAAAAATAATGAGAAAAATCATTGGTTTGTTCTTCAATTATATAATAAACATAATCTCATTCTGAGGTCTAACAGTACCTCCATTAAACAACTGTTAATTTAAAAATATATATATTATTTCTGACATAATTATATAATGAATAACATAACACTCCCTATAACTCCACTTCTGCCTCCAAATACTGTTCCAGGTGCCATCTTCAGTTCTCCACATTCTACTCTCCTATTTTTCCTTATAGTCCATGTTTCCAGTACAAATCCTGTGGTGTAAGCCCTTGATCCACGATCTCAGCTGTTTTTCCCCCATATTCCATAAGGTTAAACATTTCCTAAAATATACACACACACACACATTTTTTTTATTTTATTTTTTGCATGGTGATATAGAAATAATTATATAAAAAAAACTGTGTGGTTCTAAAAAGTATTTGGCCAGTAAGTATTTGGCATAATCGTGAGGTATTTAAATCATCTTAACATAGACTATGATAAACAAGACTAGACTAACGTTACATTAAACAAATGTAACAGCAACTGTGGGCCAAGAACAATGATAATTTGGTTTTCTACCATTTTATATTTGTCTTTCAGATTTTGTTGCGCGTTAGTTTTTAATGATGATTTTACTATCAATTGCTATCACATAATAAGATAAATGGGAAAAAGAAAGAATATCTGATCTCCATACAAATGTTTACAGAATGTCACAGGTTAAAGTTATCATGAAATATATGTAAATATTTTTCTATGCTATAAATGTATTAAATATTTATATCACACCTTATTTAGCATTACAATAGCTTGATTAAGAGTGACCAGATTGTTCAAACATAATATCCACCCACATTTTCTGCTCCATGTAACACAGGTAGAATAAATAGCTGTAATGATCTTGGTGTAATTATCATTGCTAGTTTAAACCAAGTTCATATATCTTGATTCTGTTGTTCTACCTCCTATTAATTTGAAAAGGATGGGGTTATTTGTGCATGCAACATCATTAAGTAAGTCTTTTCAACTTGTGTTATCTTTTAAATTAAATTTTACTACCCAGGTTACTGAAAGAATTACATCTTGAAGACAGTGATACAGAATTATAGGATACTTCGATTTGGGAAAAAGTCACATCACAACCCAGGCTTTTTTTTTTTTTCAAAATAGCTAAATTAGACTATTAACTGTTTAACAAAAATAACAACCTAAATATTAATGTCATCACTCGCATTGTTCTATGTATAGAGAGACTGTTGATATATATAAAACACAAGATCCAGCGCACTCACCTATCCACTAAAAGGCAACTTCAATGTTGAAAGATTTTATTCGTTTTTTTTAAAAACACCTAATCTAGGCAAAAATAATGGGGGTTTAGTTACATTATATGATCATACTATACACACTGGAGAAAATTTTTCCATGTCCACAAAAAGCCTATTTCTCTCAAATATTGTTCACAAATCTGTCTAAATCTGTGTTAGTGTGCACTTCTCCTTTGCCTAGATAATCCATCCACCTCACAGGTGTGGCATATCAAGATGCTAATTAGACAGCATGATTATTGCACAGGTGTGCCTTAGGATGGGCACAATAAAAGGCCACTCTAAAATGTGCAGTTTTATTGTATTGGGGGTGTCCAGGGCAATCCGGGGGGCTCCGAAAGCTAGTCAGTATCTTGTGACCACCATTTGCCTCATGCAGTGCAACACATCT